CCGTGCCCTCTCCAGTTCTTCTCTATTAGTGCTTTGTCTCTGTTATAAAAAGAGAGAAAAAGCCCATTTTCCCTCTCTGTCTTGATACGTTACCTGCTGCAACTTTTTCTATGTCATTAGCAAGTACTACCTAAAATATCTMATCCAGATTAATGCTTAGAAATTGTGCTAAGCTTTTTAATTCAAAACCATTTATGTTTAGTCCTGCTGAACAGCTTGAAACCATAGGTGTTCATCTTTGAATTCTTTAAAAATACTTTTTGTATTTTTCTCTGTTTGGTAGCTATCACTTTCACTCATACTATTCCATTTAATTTTTTTTGTTTGCTTTTCTTCTGTAGTAACTGGTCATATTCATAAATATATTTGTTTAAATACGTGTTAATTATGGTTTTCAATGATGAAATACCACMTCTTTACTAGCTATGGGAAAACCAACAAAAATTTCCAAAAATAACATAATAACAAGCAGTTGATTTAAGACTAGTCAATAAAATTCAGTATGTTGAAGCTTCATATATCATCTTACTTTTTCAAACTAAACATTCATTTCTTCATCCTTCCTTCTCCAGGGTGATGGCAATCATCTTTATTTATCCTAGAATAAAAAGAAATGCAATCAGACTAAATGAAAGAAAATTCATTTTAATTAAAGACGTATTCATGCTTAATAAGAAAATTGTTTATATTCCAAGGATTTTCATTTTGTTTGTTCTTTAGTTGCTTATTTCTACTTCTTTATCACTCAAATGCTTGATTTTACAATTTGATGATACTTGGATTTGAGGTTTTCAACAAGCATTATCTTTTCTGTACTTATGTCACACACACTTAAGTTTAATTATTTTCCTACCAAGAGAAAAATATAAATGTAGAGGGAGCATAAATTAATTTGAAGTTCTCTGGAATACAGGTGTTTTACCTAAATAATCATTGAGAGGGCAGTCTGAGTAATATTTTACTATAAAAATAYTTCATTCGCCTTTCAGTGGGTTTTGACAAATGACCTCAATGAAAATTAAATGAGGAAATACCTCAAAAAGAATTACAAAAGACACTTTGTAATTAATGCAYAGTTTAAGGATATACTATTTTTATATTCTAGATTTCTTTTTCAGTAYAATTTGAATGTTGTATACTGGAAAAGTTCTTTCAGCTGTTCAATGTATTTTTTATTGATATTTGAGAAATTATATGCTATTATAAATATACTCCTTTGTCATTTGCCTGATAGGAGGAAATATATTGGACTTCTTATCTTATCCCTCTTAGATGTATTCCAAATGCTTAGATGTATTCCAAATGCAAAACTTTTAGGTTAATTTAGCCCCTCAAATTCCATTCATCTTGGAAGCAAAGAGGCTGTATTGTGCCTATGACATTGGGGTGAGTTGTCTAAATTTTTCCCCTATGTTCAGTCTTAATGGCTGCCTTCCTTTTGTATTTATAGTGCCTGGAGCATATCTAATACATTTATTTTGAGCTTAGTAAATAGATTAATATATGTTTTGATACGCTTTTTGTGGTTCGTTTYGTTTGTCCTGAGATGCTTTTCTACRCATATATGGAAGCCCTTCATGCAAAGTCCTTGATATCCCATGGATCTCTATATGAAACTATCTGTGTGTGCTCATCCCAGATATTGGGAAGTTCACCAACAGCAGCTTCACAAAGTACAAGTTATCAGTTAAAGAAGCACTATTAAACATTCATATGTTTTCTGCATTCCTTCTTCCTCCTTCTTATTTCTTTACCTTTTYGCCATTCTTCTACTTTTTAAAACAAAAAAAAAAAAGATCCAATCGGTAACGGCAGTGATGACAGTTGTCCCAGAAGACTGGTCACAGTCTTCAAGTGTGAAGTAGTAATGGAATTTTACCAGGTTTCAATAGCACAATCTGAAGGTTCACAGTAGACTAAATCCAGTCAGCATTTCATAGTGGTATGAGTGTGAATCCTTATCATGAAAGGAATCAAATTTCTGTAATCTCTTAGRTATTTCCATGTTGGGCTCTATCTTGGTAGCTAATTTCAGATTGTGCCAGGAGATTCCAGGAGTACAGGGTTGCAGTTTTGCAGCCTGATTCGAATGTGTCTGTGCAGGAGGACAGCAGGAAGGTGGGCTTCCACCTGTGATCCATTAATCAAGAGATTAATCAGGCAGCTCTACAGRCATGCACTAGGCCTCTCACCAGGACAAACATGTTTCTGTCAATATCAAAAGGATTAAAGTAATTCTTTTGATGAGGCATAAACAGATAAATCTCAAGATTTATGTGCATGTTACTTCCCAGGTCTGATGAAACTCTTTTGTTAAAGGTATGGGTAGAACTCTGTGAATTGAGCAAATTGTGTATCTTTGCCAAGAAATTAATTGTAAGCAAAATCCTCAGATTGCTRTCCATGTTCATTGGAAGTTTTCAGGGAGGCTGTATGTGTACAGCAATGAGACAAATCCAGAATAGTCCAAGGACAGAATCTGAAAGAAACTTCTGTATTGAGGAAGTGTTGGAGAACTTAAAACCAACCTTCYTGGCTCAGAAAACAAACTTTCTAACCAGTTTATATTATTTGCTTCTTTGGCAGCATCACTGTTTGTATTTTACAATGTCTAGTAATAAGCAATTCCTTATCTTAAATAATTTTAATGAAGCTTAGCTCCTTTTTGTATTCAAACATTCTTTTATTTCAGCCAGGTCATTTAGTTTACAAATGTCTATAGTACATCACAACAAATAGATTGCAGTATTTTTGACTGAAGAAAACAGTGAAAACCTGAAAACTTCCTGAATTTGCATTCCAAAACTCTGTATTTTTATTTGCTTCACAGTTTCTAGAATACTGCGAGCAAATACCAATTCAGTTTGAGAATGACCTTATCAATTTAGAAAGACCAGTTAAAAATATGGAGGTGAGAGGGCGGGGGGAAATAACTGTTTCAGTATTTCTGTCAATACTAGTCTTGGCATTTTCAAATAGTTTTATTTACGTATACACAAATGTATTGTAATATTTTCCAACATTTAAAATGTCATTGAAAAGTGTTCAAACAGTGTAAAAACTTCTAGTCAATAGTAAGTTATGACTTGTGACCTACAAAAATGAAGCAATTAAATAATATCCCCCATATGAGCTCTTTTTTTTTCCAAGTAATAACTGTCAGCTAGATATATTTGATGATTAATCATGCTTATTCCTTTAAATGTCAGCTACTCTTGTCTAAAATGTCAAACTAAAACTTTTAGTCCTGTAGTGATTTGAAGAAGGTMTTAAAGAAATTTAGGAAAAATCTGAGGTTAAGAATTATTTATGTGTTTTGGAACATGCATCATCTTGATCAAATTTTATTGTTTGGCACGTTGTCTAGATGGGGAACTCATTTTGATGGAAATCACATAATTATTAATTTTGAGGTTTTGAGAAAAAATTGAGAATTTCTGGCATAAAATACTATGTATGATCCTTTTAAAATATATTGAAAAAAATATATAGATATATATTTCTGGTGCAGCTCTTTCCTTTTTTCCAGGTATGATGATATATCAAAGGGATGAAAGGATAGAACAGATTATGTTGTAGCCAGGTGWTATGGCTGTAGAAATAGAGGTCTGCAGTGTCAAGGTGAAATATTTCATAGGCATTTGAGTGATCCTGAAAGTAATAATTGAAGCTATTTTGAATTTAACATAATTGTCTTTTATCTCAAATTCGGAGGGTTTTTTGGGTCTTTCCACTGACATCACTTGTTGTACCACAGAGGAGTTTTGTATTTTCTCAGCCAAACTGATATCCCAATGTAATGATTTGTTTGCAACCTTCTTCTGCATCCAGTTAATCTGAATCCATCTGACATTTCAAGACTTCTGATCACTCAGGGTGTTTTCTTTCTGCACATGATGTCACCATAGATGATATATTAATGAAGCAGGATATTAGTTCAATGCTTTCTTAGGTAAAATGCTAATTGTTCCTCATCTCTATGCAGTAAACACACGATAGTTTATTCATGATAGTCAAGGGTGAGCAAACAGTAGAGAAGCAGCAGAAGGAATATGGGGAAAAGGAATGAGAAGTGAGACCAAGAATTGTGTGGAGGGAATGGATGAAAGAGAAGTAGGAGATGTGCCTAGAGAGAGCAAGTTTGGACCTGTTTTTATTGTTCTTGATAATGCGTAATGTAGCATCTGTGAGACAATGCTCAGAGAGTCATAAAATGAAACAGTGGACTGGATATAAGGAAAAAATTCTTCACCAGGACAGCCAGACACTGCAACAGGCTGCTAAGAGAGGCTGTCTAGTCTCTGTTCTTGACATTTTTCAAGAGAGTGCTTGACAAATCCCTGAGCAGTCTGATCTGAACAGGGTCTGTTGATGCTGTGTTGATGAGGAGGTTGGTCAAGAAGCCCTCCTGGGGTTCCAGCCAATAATTCCAACCTGAATGATTATTTTTCCCATTTTGATCCATCTAGTAAGCCAATATTGCTCTTCTGCATAGCATACACTTTAGTAAACCCATTGGAAATCAGATCACGTCTCTTTATTTTCTGTTTCACATGGAGTACACCATAGTAGTGCCTCCTCAAAAGCTAAAGTCAGAAAAAWTACTTAGAAAATACATTACTTTCAACAAATGTACTTAAAGTTGATGAAGTCAGTCTTAGTCAGTCTACCAAATTTTGATTCACTCATGTAAATTTTACTCACTGCTTGTGGGTGTAAAGAAATTGAATCATATTCTCATTACAGGATTACATGTCAGGTGTTCCAGGAGTATGAGTGTCTTCTTCAATGTATGAAGGRCATAGGTTCAGAGAAACTTATTAATCATTATATATGAGGTAATATATAGGACCAAAAGATTTTTAATGAAGATGTTTGAGTATCATRGAAGAGAGTCATATTCTCTGCATAACGCTATTACAGAGTTCTTGTGTGATTTTGTACAGATAAATCCACTATGTAAAAGCATTCCCATGTAACCCAGCAATTGTATTGCATGTATAAATAATATATTGCATGTATAAATAATTGTATTGCATGTATAAATAACCTGATAATGTACAGTATAGACTGAGAGATGTAGGTGCTATGCAATTGTGGCTATAAAGTGGAATTATTTGAAAAAATGTAAACAATATCTGGAATTTTTAAAATGTATCTTACCGTTGGTTTACTTGGTAAGTAAGGATGAACACCTTTGTATCAGAGGACTCTTCAGTTCTCCATAATGTTAATACCAGTGAAATGTGTTTGTTGTTGGGGAATTTGTTAAATTCTGTAATTAATGTAGGCCAGTGAAACATTGCTAAAAATCAAAGTTAAAGAACAGTAATAATTCCTATTTTCTTTTTTTTCTGAATAATATGCATTTGAGGACAAACACAGTTTATTGTAAATCAAAGAATGCCTGAGGCAGGAAGGCACCTCTGGAACCCATCTAGCCCAGAGCCAGCCAGAGCAGGCATCTCGGKACAAGTGTAGCTGGGATTTGATTCTCTTTGAGGAGGGAGACTCCACAGTCTCCTGGGCAGCTTGTTCCTAAGGGAAAAAAAAACACAGAAATACAGCCACCAAGACCCCACGTCACTAGGGGGACACAAACAGTTGTTGTGCAGCTTGAGGTCAGAAAAATTAATTGCTTTTGTAGATAGTAACCTTAATATTGCGGTTAATCCTAAAAAAAAAAAAAACAAAAAACAAACAAAAAAAAAAACAAAAACCAAAAAAAAACAAAACAAAAAACCACCCTTATGGTATTTAACAACAAGAAAAGGTGGGTTTAGAGATTCTTTGTACAGGATCAGTAATGCAATTTGTATTTTTAACAGTGCAGCCTCAAATAATACAACTTAAAAATGAAACTGCATTTGAGAATGGGAAAGCAACCCTCATCTGTGAAGCAGAAGGAGAACCTGTGCCAGAGATTACTTGGAAAAGGGCCATTGATGGAATGACTTTCTCTGAAGGTGACAAGGTAAATCGACCTCTAATGTATAAAATATCTAAATATGTATTGCCTRCCTTATCTTCTTGTTGAAAGCAGAAAACTAATTTAGAGACAGATTAATTCTGGATTCCTGTGGAATTAGAAGGAATTGCTGTTTTCCAAGGCAGTAAGAGAGGCATGGAGATTCTAAATTTTAAATTAGAAAAAAGAAAGAAAAAAGCAATTCAGTGCTGAAAGGAAATTCGTCTTTGTCACTTAAATTGTCATACATAATCCCTACTAATGGTTTCAATTTCATCTTGATCATTATGGCTACACAAAGCCCTTCTTCTTTGTATTTGGATTCTGTCCAGTAATCCTCAAAATACAGTGGAGCTTAAAGATACCTTAAATRAAACAATGTGAACACTTCGTAGTTRTTTCCCACTTCTGTTTTTTCTTCCTATTTTTCTCTCCTTAGATTTTTCCTCTCACAGAGGGCAAACTGAGCCTATTCTCCCATTTTGTTTCCTCATTTTCATGTTTCATTACAAAAGTAGGTTGAGTGGAAAAAGAATGACAATGGAGAAGGTCACTTACTGTGGGAACAAGAGCTGTAATTAGGTGGAATGGTGAAATTAAAATGGAATGTTGTAATGTTACTCCCAGCCATACTCATAGCACGCTGCTTCTACTGTGATTTTTTYYTTTTTCMCTTTTTAATAATAATTCRGTTTTAGTATTTGAGGSAGTATTTTCTTCTTMATTTCCTGACRCAARCGACAGAATTTCTCTGTGGTGGTTAAAGTAAGAGATACCATCTTTCTGCATAACTAATTCACKGTTTTTACTCCAGATAATCARGTAGCAAAACACCTTCTTCTTGCAYGTTCATAGCTGCTGCTTAAAAAACAAACACAGTTGGAAACCTATATAGCAATCATGCCATGAAGGGACTTAGATACATAATAAGTCAGTTTATAGGGAATTGTGGTATATAAAGGAATTATGTACTTCCATTATCTGTGTTCTAAAGGGGAATGTCTGGTCTGGTCTAGTCTCTGACTTGACCTTTCCTAGAMTTGAGGCAGTTTATGTGAGGCTCTGTCTACCATTTTCCTGTTCTGTGGTCTCCACTTTGGAGCAGTATAACAGTATTTATATTTTACTTTTTCTAATAGTTTTCCATTAAGACAAAGCAGGCTCTCTCTTCCTTAAACATTTCAAGTTAAAGGTCAGCTTTCTGAATCGCAAAGACTGTGCTTTGATCAAAGGTTACAAAGGTTGCCTCTCACTTATGTTTGAAATGTTCCCAAAATAGATTTCTATATAAGATACTGAAAATGAGAGAAAATAGCAGAAGRAAGCTCAAAAATATTGGTGMARCTGAAACCTGAAATTTATGCAGTGYTTATATAGGACAGTCTTACATTCTTAATTGCAGCTGCAGGTGGTTAAACTGTCCAGACGTGTGGCTGTAGTGTTCTCTGAACTGTGGTTCAGCTCAGTAATAATGACAACCAAACGAAAATCTATATTCACTTCCTGCTGGTGTGCTGACAGACTCAATGTGGAAGATAAAAAGAATGAGAATAAATACAGTTATGTGGTTTCCTTTGTTCTTGCCAAAGAAAGAGCTCTCTGTATTGCTCATGGGAGAGATTTTGCTGAATCTTGAATAAACGTTCTGAAATACTGAATATGTTCTTGAGCCATAAAATATGCTGCTACATTTGCCCCGTGGTCTTCCTGCTCTGGGCTGCCAAAGGCTTGGCTTGTGCTCTCCTACCAAATTAGGTGAATAGGGAACAAAACTGGCAGCGATTAAATTATTGAATAATTGTTAAATAATACAGMAATGTTTTGCACAGAGAAAGAGAAGGAAAAGATGAATTGAAGAAATTGAGATAGAGCAATGTTATGTTAAACATAGAACATAATCTTAAATTGAAAATATTACTTATACRTGACAACTTTTAAAGTAATATCCTRTCRTGCAATGACATAAATTATTCATAAAATAAAAAAAAATTATCATCGCTATACAAGGGATTCATATTTTGAATTTCTTGACCAGCTTTTTCTTGATATAGACTGCACATTATTAATCAGTGCAGTTTTAGTTCTGTTGAATTAAAAGTATCTTTAGGGGATGATTTTTTTTCTACAGGAAATGGACGAACTACTCAGGCGATAATATTAACATGATGAGCATTAAAAGAATGCAGAAAATGCTGTTCTTACTTTTTAAAATTTTACTTATATTAATTTTAGTATGTAGCTCCTCAATTATATGGTTCTTATTTTGCTAAAATGTGAACATACCTCATGTGGGTAACGAAGTCTGCTGAACTTGAGACTGTTCTCAGCCTGCATGGATTCAAAATGTATTCTTTACAATGATAGATCTGAGAACTGGGACATAGGTTTTCCTGAGTTTTGAAATTWTTGTGTCCAAAAGAATGGAAAATATGCACCAAAGTCATAGATCAAAGAAGTAAACCAGCTGGGCTTAAGGAGGATAATATTAATGAGTATGAGCTCTATAATTATCTCTTTGGAAAATACAGCTTTGATAAAGGGTTTTCAGTACATCAGAAGTGTGTATTTGAAAGTTGAAGCCAAGTGAGTTCAAACCAGAAGCAAAGAAGCCTTTTCCTCTCTCCTTTTATCATTTAGCTTTTAGAACAATCTACCACACWTTGTGTGGTCCCTCTCTTTCACTGAGAATTTGAAATAAAGGGGTCTTTCCCTTTCTTCTGACTTCTCTTGAAAGTTAAATGAAAAGTTTTCCAGGAGCCTACATCAGATGATTTTCTGTGTGTGTATAGCCCATAAATGCATGGGRATGGGTAAGGCTGAGTAAATGGATGGCAGTGTGTGATGGAAGGCGTTTGATTCACCATTAGAGGTGTAAAAATGGAAATGGAGGCTCAGCCCAAGGCCACAGCTTTGTCTCCTGTTCAGTGTGGAGCTTAAGCTCTCTGCCTCTGCCCTGCCAGTGCCCAGCTCCCAGCACCGCCTGTCCTCAYGTTAATGTGCCAACCTGGCCGTGTCCCTTTCAGCTGGGATTGGAAATGGCACATTCCCGCAGATCACTGTGCATCCAGCAGGCCTGGCCCTTTTCCCAGGAAAAGGAGGAGGCAGGAGAAGGGTTGCTTTTTTTAGAACAGGAGGAAAGATAGTGATTGGATTTGATTTGGCATAATCAGTTATGAGATGGATTTTGGACATGCACCTACATATTTGCACACAGCCCTGAAGGACAGCACATCCTGATCCCTGAGACAAAATTGTCACTTATTCCTGGGAATGCTGCAGGAGTGTGAGGGCAGAGTTTAATGCCCCACTTTCGTAGCATCTAATTCTAGCAGAAATATGAATGCTGATCAACGTTGTTTGTAATTACCATTTCAAGCCTTGGTTTGGAATACAAATTACCATAACAGATGGGGTTTGATATCAGACAGTGGCTCCACTGTATGCAGTATGTGTCCAAAGAGGCATATGCTGCATACCCTGAGGAATTTATGACCTAAACACATAAAATGAATGAAAGGAGCCAATGCAGAGAGGTCCCAGTTGCAACTTGTGTTTTGGATTTAAGATGGGGTTTTAGACTCTGTTTTTTACTGTACTTTGTATTCTTTTTGATGCAGATTCACTGAATATCTCTGAAATACCTTCTACCATTCTCCCTGTACCCACAAATTAAAAAAAAAATAAAAAAAAATCTGTGGTTTTTAATTTTATAATGAACACTGCAGAAATAATTAGAAACAGTTTGAATTCTGCTTTCTTCAATTACAATAATAACCTGGTTCTCCTTGTGGAACTTCCTGTGACATAGTTTCTAAATATTGCAGAATTCAGACCAATCATTAAGTTATTTTCCAAGTTTGAATTCATCATGTATTATCATGCAAATCATAACTATTTGTCACTTGTAGAGTTTTCCATAATTTTCATGATCAGGCAATAGGCAAAGGTAATCTTTTTCTTTGAAAGGTCAAATCTATTTTTTTCTGAAGCCTGTTAACTCCACTTCAGCTATTACAACTGTTAATAAAAAGGATCTCATTTTTTTTTTACTCCCTGTTTATGTTGTTTGTCACTGCACAAGAGGAAGCAGTATTACAGTGTCAGTGAAATATGCTGTCTTTCTTTTGAAACAGTAATGACAGCCCTGTTAAATTCTTGTTCACCAAGGATCAGGGCTTTATTTCAAATGAATCACTGAARATACAGATGTATCTAGAGTATTTTAATTGATTCCAATAGATATCTTTATTTTTTTTTGAGCTGTACAAATCCTGCTCTTTGTAAATAATTCTCCTTTGAATTGCTGGAAAATGTATGAGGCCAGTCTCTTTGGAGAAAATTGTTCTAACCTGCTTCACCTACATATTGTGTGAAAAGCTTCTACTTACAATATCATAGAATATTTTTGTTGTTGCATTATAGGCACAGGCCTGCAAGCCAGAACAATTTCATGTAGCCAGCTGCAGGTGTGTTTGATTATGCAATTGAAACACTCTGCAAACAATTCAATCAGGCATCAAAATTCTGTTCTATTTTGTTTTTAAGCTGACAATGAATTTTAGTGGGCTTCACATATTAAGTGTACGAAATTAAAGAGCAAGAATATTGTGACTGGAAGAACATAAATGAACTTGACCAACAGGGTCACTTAGATGTTAGGTAATTAGTGCTGTTGAGAATACAGAGATTTATATTATATTTGATGTAAGCAAATAAAGGGCCAAATATGTGCACTGAATGGTAGAAACTCAGGAGCCCTATGATCCATGGAAATCTGAACACATTTTGATATTCCTTCATTGTCTTTGTGGCACATTCCGCTAATTAATATGGAGTTGGGATGAACTCTTCAGTAACTAGAGGGCACTAAAAGTAGAATGTGCAGGTTTGGGAGGGTCTGTTACACTAAAGTATTCGAGCAAGACRATTGGTTTTGGAGGAGTAGGATTGCATTCAGTTAGAAAGAAAAGAACAGCTTTCCTGGGTGACCTGAGGRAGCAGGAAAG